TAACTATAACCAATAAAAACAATTGTGGAGAGAATTGAATTTTTTTCTTCAAAACATTCTGCATGACCCACCAGATTTTTATCCAAAAAGCCTTAACTTTCCTACAGGTCCACCAAACATGATAATACGTAGCATCCAAACAGTCACATCTCCAACATTTTGGCTGAACATTAGGGTACATACATGACAACTTTTTGGGATCTAAATGCCATCTATAAAACATTTTATAGAAATTTTCCCTCAAATTCTGCGACTGAGTAAATTTAACATTCTGAACCAAAAATTTTTCCCATGTTTCCAACATCACTGGTTCTTCAAAATTTTGTGCCCACTTAATCATACAATCTTTAACTAATTCAGTTTCTGAATCCCTTTCTAACAAAACATTATAAAGCCTTTTGATATGCATTGGACCTTTCTCTTTTATATGTCTAACCAATTCTTCCTCGTGCAACATAATACCAGTTTTTTGGTCCTCTTTCCATCTCAATTGTAATTGATTATATTGTAACCAAGTTAGATTAATCCCTTCGTCCAACAGTGTCTGCAATGTCTTCAGCTGCCATCTGCCCGCATCTGTAAAAAGAACCTCTTTGTATAAAACCCCCCCGAGTGACATTATATTTGTATTCCACAAAGTATGACCAAGATCCAGCCATAGCGGTATTTTATAATCCCATTTGAATCGGTGCTTCTTCCAAACTCTCATCAAAGAGTCTCTAAGTATATGGCTTTTAAATACTTTATCAACTTTGTCATCATAAAATAAGTAGGCATGCCATCCAAATTCAAGATCAAAACTTTCTGCATTCAATATTCCAGCCTTTTTCCTTCCAAACCAATCACTTGTTAAAGTTAAAGCTGCTGCATCATAACTGTAGGTTTGGAAGTTTAAGACCTCCTCTTTCTGGAACATCTTGCATAATTTTCAATTTCACTCTCGGCTTTTTCTCGTTCCAGACAAACTTATTCACTCCAGTTTGCCAGACTTTCAATTGTTTATCACTTTTAAGCACCGGAATCATTTGAAACAAAAAAAGAAATCTTGGCAAAATGTTCATCTTAACTGCTGCTATTCTTCCAAGTAGAGACAGCTGCAGTTTTTTCCAAGTCTCCATGTCTTTCTGCACCTCTCGCCACAACACCTCATAATTATTTTGAAACAATTTCATGTTTGATTCTGCAATCTGAACTCCTAAATATTTTACCTTTGGTACAATCTCAAAACCTGCCCTCCTTTCAAGCTCATGTTTACGATCTTGTGTCATGTTTTTAGCTATCATTTTAGTCTTTTTTGGATTCAGTCTAAAACCTGAAACTTTACCATAGTCTTGTATAATGTCCTTCATCAGGATTATTGATTCTATTGGCTGTGATAGGGTAACAACCAGATCATCTGCAAATGCCTTTATTCTGTAATCCTCTTGCCTAATCTTTATACCTTTCAGGATATTAGAGTCCCGTATTGTATTTAGCAAGACTTCTAGTGTTAAAATAAATAGAAGTGGGGACAGCGGACATCCCTGTCTTGTTCCTTTTTCAATTTTGAACTCTGTTGTCAAACTTCCATTAATAATAATCTGTGCCTTTTGGTCTTGGTAAATTGCTGAAATCGCCTGTATAAATTGATCCCCAAAGTCCATCTTTTTTAAAGTCTTTAGTAGAAAATTCCAATCCACTCTATCAAAGGCCTTCTCTGCATCCAAAAAGACCAGCACTGCAGGAATCTGTTTATTCTTCTCAAGATATTCCAATAAATCTATTACTTGCCTTGCATTATCCTTCATGTATCTGCCCTCGATAAATCCTGCTTGATCATCATGAATCACCTTTTGGATTACTGGCATCAACCTGTTGGCTAATACTTTCGCATAGATTTTATAGTCTGTATTCAAAAGAGATATTGGTCTGTAATTCTCTGGTTTTTTAGGACCAACTTGTTCTTTTGGTATCAAAGATATATAAGCTGTTGTCCATGATGGGGGTATTTTACCCCCTTGTTGAATATTGCAAAATAAATCTCTAAGTTGTTCCACCATTTCAGCTTGCAAAGTTTTGTAATACACTGCGGTCAAACCGTCCGTACCAGGAACTTTGGCTGTTTTTAACTGTTTAATTGCTACTATTATCTCCTCCTCTGTTATAGGATAATTCATTCTTTCCTTTTGTTGATCAGTAATTTTTGTAACTCTTTTATCATTTAAATATTTTTCTATAAGTCCATTCTGCACCTCCTCTTTGGCATACTATCTTGAATTTTTCACATCACAAAGAATAGGTGGAAAGCAATCCATAGCTTATATTATCTATAAACTATGGAATCAAATATAACTGAAAAGTCAGATATGGCATCCTATCCCTAGTTTAGAGGCCTACCTATGATATGAAAGTAGATAGAACATCAATATTTACTGTAGTAGAGTTATTCTAATATACATGACAACAATTCATGCCATGGTTACATTACAGGGAAAGATAAATACATTAGTAAACATGCCTCCTATTTGACTCTTTTCATAATTCTTTTCCTGATGCAACTATTTGGGTCATAGTCTACTTTCACTATGTAACAGCCTGAGGTGCTTAGTTTTATGTTATATTATGTCTGTTAACAATGATTTGTATTTGTCTTACTAGATCCCAAGTGTTGTCAATCTTATCATATTGCATATATTATCTATTCTATGACCGGATTTGAAATATTTAGGTATTTTAGCATAACTCTTCATTTTCCCTTTGATAGACAGAACATGTGATTCTACTAATAAGTCTCTAGCCTCACAGTAAACAACAACAGCACAGGATATTTACTTAGTTTTTGGAACATAATGGCCAAGATGTAACAGTTTGGTAAGGTCCCAGTCATAATGATTTATTCATTATGCACTTACTGTAGGAAATGTATTTCTCTTTTTAAAAAAAAGCATTTAGGTGACTATCTGTTGTCAACAAAATTACATCAATTTCAGATTCCTAAATTTATCTCAAGTTAGTTTGGACTAATGGATTAAGGCACTGGACTAACAGTAGGAAGACTTGATTCTAATCCTGCACAGAAATCAAATGAGTAACTTTGAGTCAGTCACTCTTTCTTACCTTAGGAGATTACATGGATTTGCCTGTATATTACCATAAATCATGTCCAATGCTGCATTTAAAAAACAGTTTGTAAATACAGTATTTATTCTGTCTCATTTGCAAAATTGTTTACGTGTTCACAATAACTTCTTGTAAACAATTATTTAACCTCATTTGTGAATATATTCTAGTTTTTTGGCTCTAAAAGTATTATAATTTCTTATTGCAATATCAAATGAACTTTGCATGCAGCACTTTTTTTAAATCTTGAGAATCTTATAAGTTTAGAAAACAGTGTTTACTTCTATATTTCAATTCATTATCCTGAAAAGTATTCTGTTTCTGATTAAATTTAAGAGATGTGTGTGTGTATGTGTGTGTGTATGAGTGGACGGATGAATGGATGGATGGATGGATAGCTGAAATTAGATACCGTGTTTCTCCGAAAATAAGACATGTCCCAATAATAAGCCCAATTGGGCTTTCGAGCGCACACGCTATAATAAGCCCCCCCAAAAAAACTTATACGCATGTGCAGCTGCTGTGCAAACAGCATGAGGTGAGGAGGTGAGGTGGGGGGGGGAAGAACGGTGGGGGAACATGCCCCACACATTGTAGCTTGCGCACCCCTTCTCTTAGTGGTGGCCACAAAGAGCAGCCGCAAACAAACTCTTGCCAGCCCTAGCCCTGTCAACCTGGGGGGACGGGTACTGGCGCTGGAGCTCCGAGCAACGGCTGGTGTGGGCTGTCTGCACAGCCATGAAGCAGGATCTGCGTGGCTGGTTCTTGCCTGCAACATTGCCAGCGAGGATCAGGTCAGAGCTACTGCTGCTGCCGCCCGAGATCAGCAGGCCAGATTTGGTGAGCCGGACGCATCGCTGCTACTCAGGAGAAGAGAAAGAGGAGGCACTGCCATTTCTGACGTTCTTCTCCTCCTGAAGAGCAGCAGCATGTTCAGCTCCCTGAATCAGGGTTAGGGTTAGGATGAGGGAGAAAAGGAGAGCAGGAGAAGAAGCCCCCCCCCCAGCAGTGTGTAACTTGAGAACCAGCACCTTGGATTCTCTCTTTTAAACTCTTCCCAGCCATCCTTTTGTTCTCTGCTTCGGCTCCAGGGGGGAGAAAAGGGGAGCAGAAGAAGAAGCGCTGGCTTGGATTGCAAAAGCTCAATCGTCTTCCTCTTGAAGAGCTTGCAGAGCAAACAGGAGATCTGGGGTTTGGACGAGCGGAGAATTCTTGCTTCTCCGCTCCCCACCCCTCCCCATCTGCCACTTCCCCTCACAGGCCGAGATCGTCAAGGCTGATTCGGGGAGCTGAAGATGCTGCTGCCGCTCAGGAAGAGAAGAACACCAGAAATGGGCTCTCTCGATCCGGTCTTATTTTCAGGGAAACATGGTACTCCTGAGGAACTTCCCATGCAGAAAATTATTTAGCTAGAAACAACTAATATATTTTCTGTGCCTCAGCCAAAGCAAAGTTATTTTTACTGATTTCCAAAATATGTTTTCATATGGATTGCAGATCTTTTTGATAATCTAAAAAAGACCCAATGTCAGTCAAATCTGAATTGGCATAAATATACAATAAAAGAATCCCCTTTAAGGTACTTTTAACTCTACCAAATTACAAATCAACCATCTGCATAAAAACAAAGTAAGGTAAAAACAAAAAACTACATTGTGGCTATGATTACAACTTAATGTCAGTTAAATATAGGATTAAACAGAGTTAGCTAATTATATAATTATTACCCTGAAACAAATGCTATTTAAAATAAGCTTAGCTAGATGATGCCATTTATATTTTATTTCAGAACATTTTTTCGGTATTTGATTGCATATATTGATTTCATAGCTTTAAGTGTAATAATTTTTATGGAAGGTATAAGATGCATTGATTAAAAAAACAAGTTTCATTTAACTTACAGGTTGAAGTAGATATATTAAGGAACACTCTTGAATAACTATGATGGGAAAAGAGGTTATCTTAACTGCATGGAAGAGAGTTTCCACAGATGCCATGATTTGGTCAAAGCGACCTCCAAGTCCACCCAAAGTTATAATCATGTCCATCTAACAGAAATACAAAACACACAGAGAGAAAAAAATAAATAGAATGTGAAGAAAGATCCAAAAATACATTTTGCACCTTTCCTATAAAATATAAATGCACATGTTTACAAAGCATAAATATAATTTGAGATGTTGAACAGATTTTAGAAATATCAACAATATATTTACAACGGTGAGAGAATTTATAAAACAAGCATATTTGAATATATTAGCCTCATTCATTTTGATCCTCTTTTTTAGATAATGATGATGATGATGATGATGATACAAATATCTTGGTCTTGATTTTCTAGGTTGTAATAACAATAGAATGAATAGAGGTTTTTTACAAAGGTAAAAAAGGTTTTGTAAAAAACCTCAATAAAGTTTCTATAACAAACAAACAAACAATAGAATGAATAGAAATTTCATTGGTTTTCTGAATGCATCTTAATGACAAATCCATGGAAGACAAAGCAAATGTCTGGGGTTTTAAATTGAGCCGAATTATTTAATAATTTTAAATTATTTTAATTGATGTTTGTCTTGTGCTTTTAATAGGCTGAACACCACCCTGAGTCCTTCGGGAGAAGGGCGGTATAGAAATAAAATTATTATTAATATTATTATTATTATTATTATTATTATTATTATTATTATTATTATTATATAGTAGCTCAGAGTTGTGGTCGCCATGTATTATAATAGAGACAATAGATTTTGAAAATCAATTGCTAAGTAATATGAATAAGAGGAATAAAATGGCTAGATAAGTTCTTCGTCCCGGAACTAATAGAACTTTTCTTTTCTTCTTTTTTTTTCTCCAATTTTTATTTATAAGTACAAACTAAACAGAACAATGAAACGTATAAAACATAAAAACATATAAACATCCATTTCAATACATGTCCAGTTTGTCGCAACTATAATATACATTATTATATATACATTATTATAATATATATAATAGAACTTTTCAAAGGACGGGACGGGACGGGATGGGACGGAACAACAGAACAGAACAGAACAGAACAGAACAGAACAGAACAGAACAGAACAGAACAGAACAGAATAGAATAATAGAATAATTTGGCCAAGTGTGATTAGACGCACAAGGAATTTGTCTCCGGTACAGAAGATCTAAGTGTACATGCCAAACAATACAGTAATCACCATCATCATACCAAAACAGGGGATAATACAAAAAAATAAGAAGGCTAATACTAATATTACAACATGGATAAATATACATAGATAGTACTGTGAGAGTTAGGTGTTCAGCAGAGTGATGGCACGAGGAAAAAAATCTGACCCTATGCCTAGTTGTTTCGGTATGCAACACCCTATGGTGGAATCCTGAGAGAAAGAGGTGAAACCGTTTTTGTCCAGGATGGGAGGGGTCTGTAGATGTTTTCTCAGCCCTTCTTCTGACCAGTGCAATATACAGATCTTCTATGGGTTAGGGTTAGGGTTCAGACTGGTTACAATTGTTCTTTCTACAGTCCTAACTATCTGCTGGAGTCTGTACATGTCTTGTTTGGTTGCTGTACCAAACCAGACAGTTATTTATTTATTTTATTTATTTGTCAAGTATGTATTAGATAATATACTGTATATAAGTATAAGCATGAATTGAATACATAAAATGAATACAAATAAAGGGAACATTAGGACAGGGATGATAGGCACACTGGTGCTCTTATGCACACTCCTTACAGACCTCTTAGGAATGGCGTCAGGTCAACAGAAGACAGTCTTAGGTTAAAATTTTGGGGGTTTTGGGATGAAACCACAGAGTCAGGTAGTGCATTCCAAGCACTGACCACTCTGTTGCTAAAGTCATATTTTCTGCAATCGAGTTTGGAGCGGTTCACTTTAAGTTTGTATCTATTGTGTACTCATGTATTGTTGCGGTTGAAGCTGAAGTAGTCATTGACAGGTAGACATTGTAGCAGATAATTTTATGAACCACACTTAGGTCATACTGAAGGCGGCATAGTTCTAAGTTTTCTAAGCCTAGAATTTCAAGTCTGGTGGCATAAGTATTTTGTTGTGAGCAGAGGAGTGGAGGACTCTTCTTGTGAAATATTTCTGGACACGCTCAATTGTATTAATGTCCGATATGCAGTGTGGGTTCCAGACAGATGAGCTGTATTAGAGAATTGGTCTAACAAATGTTTTGTATGCTTTGGTTAGTAATTAATATTACCGGAGAAGAAGCTACACAAGATTAGGTTTACAACTCTTAAATGCCTTTTTGGCGATGTTGTTACAGTGGACTTTGGCAGTTAGATCATTAAATATGAGTACTCCAAGGTCCTTTACAGAGTGAGGGTCATCTACAAGGTCGTGTCCACTCAGTTTGTACTTTGTGTTCTGATTCCTTTTGTCAATCTGTAAGACAGAGCATTTGTTGGTTGAGATTTGGAGTTGTCAATTGTTTGACCATTCCGACACTAAGTCAAGGTCTTTTTGAAGGGTAGCAGCATTGTCGGTGGTGTTAAATAGTATTACATGATCGGCGAAGAGTACGCAGTTGCTTATAATATGATCACAAAGGTCATTTATGTATAGTATGAAGAGTGTTGGTCCTAGAACGCTGCCTTGGGGGACACCACTATTAACAGGTGCAGGATTTGATAGGGCGCTCCCTATTTTTTTTTAAAAAAATTATTTTCTTTTTTCCAACATAAAGAAAATTTTTTCAAGAACGAAGTCTTGGTCTGGTCACAAATGGGTACATTAATTTAACAAATGAAAAACAAACAATTTTAACATAAATTCCAACATCTTAATAAATTTTTCTATTATCTCATCATACATTCTAATCTCCTACTAAGGCAAAGCTCCTTTTTATATTCAATTATAAATTTAATTATAAATCAGAATTCAATACCGCTTTATCTAAATTTTTTATCCCTTGCTCCTTTTAACATCAACATTAAGCACAAAAACAATCTTTTCTATTAATCTATATATTCACCTTACAATTTTATCACCACAAATCTTAATTTTCAAATGTATACAACTCAATTTTTAGTTCAATTTATTAATCAAAATTTCTTCCTATTTTTCTCATTTTCTAAACCCAATCTGTCCTATCTTATTCTTAAACTTTTACACAGAGATCTCAAAATTTACCATTTCATTTTAATTATCACCCAACATTTTATTAATGTTAATTAATAAATATTAATAATTATTCTTCAATATATTCTCCTCATTCTCCTCCATTACTCCATCTATTTATTTGGCTGATTTCCAGCATAGCATATTTTGGCTGAGTTACCAGCATATTATCCTCCTTAACTTCCCCTTTTGTTTGGCTGATTACCAGCATTTTCCATTGTTTTGGCTGATTTCCAGCATTTTTTGTTTTGGTTGATTAACAGCATTCCCGTCCTTAACTCCACCTAGTTTTCTGGCTGATTAACAGCATTCTCCTCCTTAACTCCACTTATTATTTGGCTGATTTCCAGCATTTCATTATTTGGCTGATTTCTCAGCATATTCTCCTCCATTAACTCCAACTTCTATTCTACTAATTTATTAAAGATTTCTTTTTTCATATGTTATCTATTAATCCATTATTTCCAACTGTACTCTTCCAGGGTGTTTATTTCTTAATAATAAATAATATTATTTCTTAATATTAATCATTCCAAGATATATTAAGTGCAATTACAATTATAACTTCCATTTCTGTACCTTAATCCATCATCTAAAATCATTAACAATTGATCATAATTATCATCCACCACTTATCAAATTAAAACTAAAGCATATTACAACAAATTATGCTTTTATAAACATATCACTTTTAGTCACCTTTACTTCCCATTTCTATTTTTAATATTTCTTTGTTTACCATGAACACTTATTTTTATTTAAAATTCATTTAAATTTTGAACCATTTAAACAATTAAACATTCAAACATTGCCATCCAATTTATTTATTTTGCTTCTTCTTTTCCTTATCTGTCCATATGCGTTTCAATTCAAAGTCAATACTTTCACACTTAAAACTCTGCATATCCTTTTTAATTTTATTATAAAGTGTGTTTCCAGTAAAAAAATCAACTTCTGCACTTCTGGTCCTGCGCCAAGTCTTTTATTGCTGCGCTAGTTAATTAAAAGTTTATTAAACATTGTATTTCTTCTTTCTTTATGTAGCCATCTAACGACAGAATAGGAATCTCCAAAGTTCAAAAAGCCATAGTTCTTTTCAAGGCAATCCACAATATGTAAAAAGTCAAATGGTTCTTTTCAGAGAAGAACAAGTTACCGCAATAAACACTTTCACTTAGTCACAGCTTCAAACGCCATTTTGAAACATTTATGTAGCAATCCATTTTATCTCTTTGTCTATCTTTTAAAGGTGGCAAATCCTTAATTTTGCTTTTCTCTTTTCAAGTTCATTTCAGTTTTAACAAGAAAGTTCAAATATCCAGCTCTGTTAATAAGCAATTCCGTCTAATCAATCAGTGGTGAAATAAGATTCTTAAAGGGTTTAAAACTTCTTTCCCCCCCAAAAAAAATCTTCAAGCCCCTCAGATCTTCAGCCGCTAAGTAAGGCTGGGGGTCTTATTTATTAATATCCTCTTTAATGTGTTGTTCTCGCCTGGGCTGGTGTCACTCATCCGGCTCCAAAGCATTTCGTCCTTTCTTCCTTCCTCCTGCACTTCGCCTGTCCCGATTTGTCACAGTCTCAAGGCAGCCGCCATGGCTGCGGTCCCCCACTGCTGACTTAGAGGGTTGCCTCCAGCCTCCAAGGAACTTGCCCGTTCCTCTCGGCCACCCAAGGGGTCCCTCTCTTTTCCCCTGTCCCTTCAGGACAGGGTAGGTCCGCAGACCTGTCAGCGGCGGTTAGCCAGTCGGGATTTGGCAGGGCTCATCAGAGCCCCACCATTTCCCCGACTGTATCCCTGCAACGCCAAACCAGAAGCCTTCAGGGCGCTCCCTGTTTTGAACACTTGTCTGTTTGACAGGAACGCAGCTATCCAGTTATGTAGCGGTCCGGA